ATCCATCTAAACACCCTGAACTTTATACATCCATGAAAGTTACCATCAGAAGAGATGAACTAAAAAAAGCTTGGAAGAGGGAAGTTATGGCCATCTGGTACCCTCGTGTCTCATTTTTTAGTAAAAACGAGGATGCCAACAAGGCAGATGGATCCTCAGAATCAGAATTAATGATGCAAACATTGCAGACCCAAAATCTAAACATTTTCTATCAAAATGTACGAGCCTACGCACTAAAATAAGTGACCTATATACCAATGTTCTTAGTGAAGATTTTGATATAATCCTATTAACTGAAACATGGCTTATAGATGGAATCTCCAATGAAGAACTTTTTGATAATCGCTACATAGTCTTTCGCAAAGATAGGGCCAGTGGCAAGACATTGGGTGGTGGAGTTATGGTAGCATTAAAAAAGAAATTTATTGTAGAAAGTATTAAAGTTAATTGTAATGTAATTGTTGAGTGCTTGTTACTTAAGGTAAGGTTTAAAACATATTCATTTTATGTCTCATGTGTATATATACCTCCTGGTGTAAGGTTAGATATTTATGAAGAACTTTTAGAATTTTATAACCAAGTATTGTTAGAAAATATTAATATTATCATATTTGGAGATTTTAATATTCCTGGATTTATTAACTTAAGTTGTGAAAAGAGCAGCATGCTTAAAGAATTTCAAAATCTAAACAATTTAAATCAATATAATACAATTTCAAATTGTAAAAATAAACTGCTTGATCTTATACTGTCAAACATATCCATAACCAATCTAACTAGGTCTGGGTCTCCTTTGGTACCTGAAGATTATTATCACCCCGGCATTAGAAATGTTACTAGAATATAAAGATAATTCATACACTAAGAGTAATATACAACAGTCTTATAGGTATGATTATGCCAGGGGGACTTTAATCTTCTGTATCAATTAATAAGAGACACTGACTGGTCAGATATGTATAATTGTATAACTGCTACAGATTGTATAAATCAATTTTACGATAAATTGTATGACTGCATCGATCAAGCCATCCCAAAGAAAATTATTAAAAATAGACAAAAACAGAAATATCCAGCTTATTTTAGTATAGACCTTATTAAGAAAATCAGACAAAAAAAACAAATTAAGCAAACATATAAAAATAAGGAAAGCTAGTGCTGTCGATAACAATAAATTCAGGAGTCTTAGAAATACTATTAAAAAGCAAATCAAAAATGAATTTATGCAGCATCAAAATAATATTGAAGATAACATTTTGCATGACCCAAATAGTTTTTGGACATTCATAAGAAGTAGGAGACAAACCAACGGTTTTCCTCACGAGATGTCTTTAAATGATCATACCTATACAGGCCCTCAGGATATTGCCATGGCTTTCTCTCATCATTTTAGCTCAATTTATCAGGTATCATCTACACATCAGAGTAGTTCACAGGGATCTTTTAACTTTTCAGTTATTAGTGAAGAAGATGTGAAGGTTAGTATAAAAAAATTAAAGCCAAAAAAGGCCACTGGTAGTGATAATATCCCTGCCTATATCTTTAAAGGATGTTCTGATATATTTCAAAAACCATTATCACATCTATTTAATCTATCGCTTAAAACTAACACCTTTCCAGACAAACTCAAAGAGGCTACCATTACTCCAGTTTTTAAATTAGGTAATAGAAACAATATAGAAGACTATCGTCCTATAAGTATCCTTAATTCCCTGGCTAAAATATTTGAATCTATTTTCTATATAAATATACTGAAAAATTTTGAAAATGAATTTGCTCCAGAACAACATGGTTTTTTGCCTGGGTTATCCACAACTAGTAATCTATGCATTCTTTCTAATTTTGCTAGTGAGGCAATAAATAATAAACTCCAATTAGATTTAATAATGACTGACTGCTCAAAGGCATTTGATATGGTTGACCATGGCATTCTTTTATCGAGATTGAATGAGTTTTGGTTTTTCGCATGATGCTTGTACATTTATAAAATCGTATTTGGAATCAAGGTTTCAACGAGTCAAAATTGGTAGGTGTTTATCAGATAAATTTCAGGCTACATCTGGTGTCCCCCAAGGAAGCAACTTAGGGCCTTTGTTTTTCTTAATTTTTGTCAATTCACTACCACAATCTCTTAAATTTTCTTCTAGTCTGATCTATGCTGATGATTTTAAGCTTTTTAAGACTATACATACTTCAAATGATTGTCAGTTACTACAGGGGGACCTGACCTCAGTTGTGGAATGGTTTAGGGACAACAATATGATCTTGAATATTACGAAGTGTGGAGTCATATCCTTCACTCGCAAAATTGATTACATTGAAAATAATTATAGAATTGACAATTGTGTAGTATCTAGGAAAACCAAATGTAAAGATCTGGGAATATACCTACAGGCTAACATGAAATTTAATGAACACTATATAAATATTGTTAATAAGGCCTACAAAATATTGGGATTTGTAATAAGAAATTCTAAACACTTTAGTATAAACACAACCATTAGACTATATAACGCTTTAGTCAGACCAAACTTGGAATATGCATCAGTGGTATGGACTCCTGAAGCCAAAGTTCATATTAATCATATAGAAAAGGTACAAAAAAGATTTCTAAGGTATCTATACCTTAAGAAATACAATGTGTATACTCACCTTACGCCATCAAAAGAATTGCTTCAAATATTTGGCTTGCAGTCATTAGAGCAAAGAAGAAACATGTATTGCGTTGTGTTTATTCATAATATCATTAACAATGTTAAATATAAGACATGTGGTTTGATAAACTTTATTAGGTTTCATGTGCCAAAGGTCAACCTAAGGGTAAACAGTAATGACCTATTTTCTTGTAGTCCTTATAATTCAGGTGCAATAATAAACTATATGCAATATCAGTGCAATGAGTTAATAAAGATTTGTGATATAGACCTCTTTACCTGTAGTGTAAGGGATATTAAAAAATGTTATAAATAAGTATGATAAGTAATGGACTCAATTTTTAATATTTTATTAACTTGTGTCTTTTTATTAATGTGTTTTATTTTGTGTGTTTTTATTTTGTACTTGTGTGTATATTGTATTTTTTGTGTGTATATTGTTATACCAAGTAATGAGCACTCTTACATGTAATTACTACCTAGGTGGTGTTTGTAAGTTTTAATAAATAAATAAATATTCTGTTTCCTGTTGAATTTGATCTTCGTGTCTCTGATAACTCTTGCTGGTTGAAGTTCGCAGTTTCTTCCTTTTCTGAATCCAAACTGGTCCTCCTGAATTATTCTTCTTCTTTTTGCATGTTTCATCAGTCTTATGTATATGATTTTCTCCAGTATTTTTCTTATAGTTTCCAGTAGTGAAAGAGGTCTGTAGCTTTCTGATTTTCTTCCATCCTTCGTTGGTTTTAGTAGAGGGATGATCTTGACATGCTTCCAGTTGTTCGAAAAATGTGCTTTTTCCAGGCAGTATTTGAAGATATAGTAAAGTTGCACTATTATCTTCTTTGATAGTTCGTTGAGAGCTATGTTGTGGATTCCTTCTGTTTCTGGTGCTCTTCATCATCATCAATCAGCCAATCAAGTCCACTGCTGGACATAGGCCTCCCTCAGTTCTTTCCAGTGTTCTCTACACTGGGCTGCTTATAGCCAGTTTCCCGCTACACGTTTTATATCATTGGTCCATCTAGTCGATGGTCGTCCTCGGCTTCTTTTACAGTTTCTGGGCCTCCATTCCATAATACGTCTTGTCCACCGTCTATCTTGTGCTCTGGCTAAGTGCCCTGCCCAGTTCCACTTAAGCGACGTGGTTCTTTCGATGACGTCTTGAACTCCTGATCTTTGCCTAATTTGTTGGTTTGTTATGTGATCTCGAAGGCTCACGTTCAGCATTACACGTTCCATGGCTCGTTATGTAACTCTGAGTTTATTCGCAGATTTTTGCGTGAGGGTTAAAGTCTCTGCTCCATAAGTTTGTACAGGTAAAACACATTGGTTATAAACCTTTCGCTTGAGACACATGGGAATTGAACTTTTTAGAATATGGCTTAATTTGCCAAATGCTGCCCAAGTTAGGCCTATTCGCCTCTGTATTTCATGTGTTTGATTCTCTCTGCTTATTTTGATTTCGTGTCCCAGATATTTGTAAATGTCTGTTTGTTGTATGGTATTATTATCAATAGTTATATTTCCACTCATTACGAGATTTGTTATAAGTTTAGTTTTCTCAAAGTTTATCTTTAATCCTGCTCTTTCAGACAGACTTTTAAGCGAATGCATCACAGAAACTGTATCTTGTAAATTATCTGCGATTAATACAACATCATCTGCAAATCTTTGGTGATTTAATCTTTCTCCATCTATATTGATGCCCATATCTTGCCATTGAGTGCTCTTAAATATTGACTCTAGAGCTGCCGTGAACAATTTTGGTGAAATATTGTCTCCTTGTCTAACTCCTCGACCTAAGCTGAATTTTTCTGTATCTGGTGCTCTGCTTCGTTTTAATTTTCTAATGATTTTGACACCTTCTGTTAGGTTGATGTAGTCTTCTTCCGCTACTAAAAATTCGTTTCTTCTTTTTATCCTTTCGTATTCCGTCGTGACCTCCTCGATGGTTCTTGCATCCAACATGTTTTGGTTTTGCCTCTGTGTTGCTGCAATCCTTCTTTCAATTGCATCCACCTTTTCTTGGGTTTTGAAGTGAGTTCCCTAAGTCTGATTCTTAATTCTTCGGAAAGTTAGCCTCCGTATTCCGTAAACTCCTGTCTTCTTGTCATTTGGAAACCTCTTCTGGTCCTGTTTCTGTCCTTGATGATTTACTGTAGCTCGTTTGATATGATTAATCCTCTATTATTCGTCACTCCTTTAAGGATTTTGTCTTCCATAGCTTCCTGGATTTTCCATATTATTTCTTCTATTTTTCATTCCACTTCTCACTTTCATAATGTTATGATAAGTTATGACCAATAAACATTTTTATATATAGAATTGTCATTGTTTATTTTTTAGTTCGGTGAAGTAGATATGGATACAAACGATGACAACTATTCGATGGCTGTTCCATCGACGGCATCAACGTCGACGGGTTATGGCAGTTATTCCTCAGGTGATAAATATTTAACTGTTAGACGACACACGGTGGGACCAGGAGACCCAGCACACGAACAGGTAAATATACGACAATACAGTACTAATTTTATCAGGAGACGAAAAGTGTAGAATTTTATCTCTCACAAAAAAAATATATAATTGAGAACTGCGCAATATAAATATAAATATAGAACAGAAGAGTTTATTTACTTTTTGTAGGTGTTGGAAACCCACTACATGGCCCATCCTCAGCAGGATCCAAACGGTGCTAAACTGCTTCCCAACACGAATCTTCCCCTCAATTTAACTACATTGGCACAACAGAATCCGCATTATTTCGGAGGAAAAGATCCGCATTTATTAAAACCTCCCGTGGTATTGAGCGCTGCGGGCGGATTCGGACGAAGGGCGTCAGGTATGCTCTTGGTATTTTATTCATTATCTTAGTATTCTGTCAATGGGATTTCAGATGGTGGTGCTAACCTTCATATGGCGTGGGGAGCTCCCGGTTCTCACGAACAACTGTCGATGATGTCTACTAGTTCCAGTGGAAATCCTAGTTTAAGTAGCAGCGGCACGGGTACACAACCTTTAGAACATAATCAACACGGTTTGGACGAACAAGCACTAGCGAGGTAATGCATTTTTCTACAATTAACTTTTTTTAATCACGTTAAACTTTTCAGAGAACTAGATTAAACCTAATTAAGTATAAACAACGATTTTCAAATCGTACTAAAGCCGTGAAACCATACAATTCTTGCTCGTAGTTATTATTGCCATATCTGGTAACCAATGTATTGTAGCAATACAAACGCTGAAGGTGTTTGAGGCACACAAAATTAACGAATCCGAGTTGCTCAGAATCGGAAGAGATGTGGGTGTGCTTCTTTTGATATTTCCTTTGTTACAGCAACAGTGGAACAGTGAAAAAAAAAAACATTTCGAGTAAAATGCGTTTAAAAAATGCGAGGTCTCCAAGAAACTGATATTTACCCTTTTAGGCGCATTGTAGCTCTTAAATGCCTATAAATCTATCAATTTTACTCCGACCACTGTGCCTCCAAAATACTCTTTTCTGTGTGAAAACATATCGATCAACACTCGCAGTCAACATTTCTAAAAGTTATATGTGTTATTTTGTTAATGACTTTATTTTAACTCAAACTGTAGTAAGATATTTATTATAAATATCTAATTAATCGTAAGGTAAGGTTGATTTGTTCCTCACAAAAGACAAACTACACATTCAAAAAATTTGAAATAATTTGAGAAGGTATATGTCATAACTAGAAATATTTTGACAAATTTTGAAAAAACTTCATGATTTCGTTTTCGAAAAAACTCAAAAAAACTACTTTTTCCGAGTAAAAAAGCAGAAAAAGCAAGCATAAAGTTTTGTTATTTTTGTACAGCATATAATACTAAGAATTACTTTTGAATTTTTTGAAAATTTTTGAATGTAGAATTTTGTTACAATATAAAAAAAATAATATGTTCCGGCTTGTAGTAAAGCTGCCGGTAAGAAACCGGACAAAATTTTAATAATAACATTTATAAAACTGTAAAATTAGAAAATACAGATTGAATGAGATAAATTCGGAACATACGAAATATATGTGTTTCGGCTCAACTCCGCTCTAGGTGGTTGGCCAACAAAAGGTTGTCAAATAATTATATTATAAAAATCCAATACTTCAGCGGGCTGCTGGATTCTGAACTCATTCAAGAACAGGTCAAAACTCTACCCAAATAGATTGCCCCGCCCATCACGTATAAAAATTGAAAGCTACACATAAATCTAGGATTTTATTATGCTGTCAAACCACTTATCGCTTATCGACCACTTAAAGCCGGCCACTCATGGTACAGCGGTGTCGTTTGACATAATTGGACAGCGGCGTTGTTCAATTTGTTGGTATATCTGGTGCGCCCACACACCATACTGCGCCGCAGTATTTGTTCGGTTCTCGACCATGTCAAATCAAACAATCATTTTAGCGTCTCTTACTTTGTGTATAACTAAGCGTAAAAATAAACTTAAAATAAAATGTAGATTCTGGTGCAAAGAATCCAAGTTTTCGGTGCAAAATAAATCTCGTCTGCCCCTGTACCCAATTTACTGGACTGCAATGCTAATTTTAATTCTCTTTTATAGGATGTTCTAAAATTGTTAATTTTTTTTTCTTACATACTCTTCGCATCTTTGTTTACTTCTTGCAACTTTAAAACTAGAATGTCCATTGCCTGTTTTCGGGCGTTTCTATCGTGATACGTTTTACCTTTTATTCGCTATAAGCATTCTTGTTTTTTATTAATTCAAAAAACTCAAAAAATTCTCGCTAAATCAAGCCATGTCGATTTTCTATAATATGAACAAAGCAAGTGTGTAGTTAAAAATGTATTTTTGCAGTATCGACAAATTGTAAACGGTCACACACGCTCAACAAATTGATGAGATCAACTCTGCAGTACTGCAGCAGACAGGTCAGTCTGTCTGCGGTCAAATTGTACAATTTCATTGGATGCACGGTCACACACGATCAAAATCCTTGTCAATTCATCGAACTCGACGAAGTTAAACAACGCCGCTGTATCGTGAGTGGCCGGCTTTAGGCAAGCCCCTCTTTCGTTTATCTAAGCAGTCAGATGGATATTTTGAGCGGTGTTGCCAATCTCATTTCTCTAGATGTTTCTCAAATAAGGTGTTAACCATAAAATATTTACAGGAAAGAAAGGAAATAACTACAAACCATTAAGTTTATTTTTGTTATTAGTCTCTTGTAGTAGATTGGTAAATACAATGAAAAATATAGGCAAATATCCGATTTATTTAAAGATACGAAGAAGATATAACTCTCAAAAAGATCCGCAAATCGGATTATTACACGGCGATTGGCAACATTGACTTGGGGCAGCGCTCTAGACTATGGTGCGTCCTAAAAGGAGACAGATAGTTGAACGATATTTTATACAATGTCTATCACCGGGTATGGATTTATTTTTGTCCAAGTTTTATATTGGTCCACTATTTCAAATGCAATTCAAACATCATCATCATCATCATCCAGCCTCTATTTATCACGTCCACTGCTGGACATAGGCCTCCCTTAAACTCCTCCATTCCTCACGATTTTGTGCTCTTTGTTGCCAATTTTTAGTGATACGCCTGATGTCGTCGGCCCAACGTGTAGGTGGTCTTCCTCTACTGCGTTTGTCTGCTCTTGGCCTCCAATTTGTAATTTTGCTCGTCCATCGTGAATCGTGCATTCTGGCTACATGGCCTGCCCAGCTTCATTTTAGTTCCGCTATGCGTTCCACAATTCAAACATACATATATTAAATTGTATGATCCGTTTTAAATTCGTTCAATCTGTATATGCAATAAAACGTTGAATATTTTTTCCTAAACATATGAAAAATCTCGTTAAACAAGAATTATATCTTTAACTGCCGCCATCAAATTGTGTTGTAGAGGGATGGCTCCATCTGAAACTTCGGTAATATTTATCATCGATAGATAGTATTACTTTCGACTTCGAAACACTTCAAACGAAACGTCATGCTAACAGGGTTGCCGTATCGATTACTTTGTAACAAAACTTTGGCAGATTACGAAAAAATTAATAAGAATGTTATCGGTTTGAATTTTGAACTGGCCATACTGAAACTTGCAGAATAGTGGATACTCTAACTTTTTTCTGAAAGTACGATGTCATAAAATTTAAAATCTACAAGTAATATATATATATATATATATATATATATATATATATATATATATATATATATATATATATATATATAGAAAAAAACCTATTTCGTTTTTAAAAACCTATTTAGGCATTTTTGGTTAATTATTTTAGTATTTATAAACAATATTGTTCTTTACATAACGTATTAGTGGTTATTTTATATTAGTATTAGCATTAGTTTTAGTGTTACGATAATATGCCTTTTAAAAAGAATAGTAGGAGAGGATTACATTATTTAAGGTTTATTCCTTTCGTCTTATAGTTGATCTACCACGTAAACAATATCTTGAAAATTCAAAATTTGATATTTTTTATGGCTAATATACTTATTGAAGGTTTTTTAAAAAGTGAAAGCATACACAACCTTGCAATATACAACCTTCATTGGTGATGGAGGCTAAATGGCTAAAGAATCAGCTAGTAATAAAAAATTATTGTCAAGTGCTCGTATCAATTTATTGGAAAGTTCTGTAGAAAACTAATCTCCATATATCTCTAGTGTTTGGGAAAAAGGGCATAAGTCAAATTTATGCTATATTGACTTAAGTACACTTTCGACATGGAAATTAATCAATTTAGTTGTGATCCAAAGGACATAAGTCTATTGTATTTCTAACCGCTTTAATCTCTATTGATCTAATAGACGCAAGTCGTGTAAAGCCGGTTCTGTTTGGACAAACGGACTTATGTTGACTAAAGTCTTTTTTATCGCGGCAACCGTATATTTACACTTGCCAAGGACAGGCTGACTTAATTCCGTATGACCCGTTACAATAACAAACACGTATTGCTTTTCAGTGATAAAAATTTGTATTTACATGTGTTTTTGCGAACGTAAAAATGTCAGAAAGATGTAAAAGAATTATGAAGATGATTAAGGAGCAAAATAATGGTACGTAACCGTTTAATACTGTTTTATCTGTAAAAATGAATTTTATTGAAAATTTAAGGTTATGTGTAATATTAAGTATGTTTATTAAAATTAATAATTCTTTAAATAGTGGTCATTCTTTACATTATACATTCATATACAGAGTGTGTAGATTAATATTTTGAAGTTGTTAATCACGAAATTGAATATTATGTTATTTGTATTGTGCACTGACCACACATAAACGACTACTTTCTCCTATTAATAAAATAAAACCGAAATTTTACAAAAACGTAGGTATAACTCTAAAATGTGATATTATTTTTCAGATAATACACATCAACAAGAATGGGAGTTTCGAGATAGTGATGGATATGATAGTGATGCCGACCCAGTATTTGAAATGAAACAAAGTGATGGTGATTATGAAAGTGATGATAGCGACCTTGAAGCTGCTCCTTCCATTAGGAGTAATAAATTTCAGAATAATAGTACAGAGATGCTCAATAAAAATATTGTACAACAGCGTAACAACCAAAGTAATCATCAAGATGCAGTATGCTTACATAGAGCCGCCGAAGAAAGTGAACAAATTGACGAACAAGAGAATGTGCTGCAGATTTTCAAGCCTTATGCGAGGAAACTAAAAACAGAAAGAAAAGTAAAACGAAACACTGGTAAAGAATATATTACTGCTAAAGGAAAAATTCAGCGAAAACGTGAGATTAAGAAGGTAGTACCATGCAGAATGAAATGCAATGTATGGTTAAATGCTGATTTAAGAAAAACTATATTTGATGAATATTGGCGACTTGGCACCCATGAACGCCGAATGAGTTATATAAGTAAATGTGTTACTTCCCAAGAAATTAAATGTCGTCGCATAAGAACACCCAATAGCGGCAAGGAAAGAGTAGTAACTTACAAATACACTTTTGAAATTGACGGACAACGAAAACTGGTGTGCAAAAAATGTTTTCAAGGAACTTTAGATGAATCCGAAAAATTTATTC